GGTGGGAAATTGTGCCATCATAGCCAGAAGAGTCTGAGGTCCACAGGCTCCCCATTCCTGCTTTAAGGAATTACTGTTTGTAGGATGTCTTACCCATCCATAATCATGGCATCCAAAGTTGTTTCTCCATGTTCATCTGGACTTCCACCATATCCTACACTTCCATCACACTGATCTGTTTGACATTGCTCACAACCTTTCTCTATTGCATCAAGTTCTGAACCTCCTGCTTGTAAGGTATTCCAAGCTGCAATCAAAAGGACATAAACACTTATTATAACTGGCTGAATGCATACCATTCTTCTCTCAAGAAAAATACATGTAAATCCCATGCCCATTCCTAGAACATGCAGCTGACTCAAGGTAGAAGAGCGTGTGTGTATGCCAGATATCACACAACTTCATGAAAAGTTGTAATAGACCTTGCACATGTCTATTGAGAAGCAATATTCCAAAGTAAGCACAGATTTATAGCCCAAATCCAAGAGTTCCAAGGAACACAGTACTGATTTCAAAGCTCTTCGGTCCCAGGTAATAAAAAAGTAACTTAATTGCAGAGTGATTTTTATAACTGTTTGCTTACTTATATATTCTCTTTAAAATCTGGCATTAGTATTGTTAAATAAACTAGAATTAATATGGGCTATTTGACTTCACAGACTCATATTTTTCTTTTTCAACTTTGTTACAGAACATACAGATGCCAAACCAAATCTAGACCCAGGAACATCCCAACGTTATTTATATTAGCAACAGCATAATCTTGCAGATATTTATCCAGAAGTAGGTCTCATTGTGTTCATTAAGGCTTAAAAAGGTAGCCACTTTTTCTGTGCTACATTATTATTAACAATGATTGCAATCAGCATGTTCAGTTCATCAAAATGTAAAGTCTTTTTCAAGAAATCTTCTTGAAGCTCAACTGCTGGTGATTTCATTTCTTGGCAACAGTATGTCGAATGGCTTGCTACTCTCTTCTTCTGAGAAGTGTTAAAAGTCTTCCCAGTATAGACTACAATAAGATTTTCTAATAGTCTTCCCTCCAAGTATCAAGCAGGTTCTATGCTGCTTATTTTTTTGAAATCAACCAAGGTCAATTATATTTCACCAAAAGATCTACACCTCAAAAGTACAAGTTCATGTATTTATTACTATGTTTTAGCAACTGCCAGGGAATGGAGTTATTATCCCTAGGAGCTATTAATCTGTATAATCTTGATGTGTCTTTAAACCATAATATAAACCAGTGTTTCTCAAACCTTGGGGCCACTTAAACTCTAAATAGT